TGGTGCCGAAGGAGACGAATGATCCTTGGCGCACGCCAAGTGTTATAGAGCAGCTTGACCACAGGCAAAGGGGCTCCATATCGAACGAACTTCTCTCGTACCCCATCCAGCTCCATCGTCTCATAATATGTGGAATTCGCCGGCCCAACGGGCCAGAGGCGTGCTAAGATCTCCGGCGACTGCTTTACAATCTTTCTACTTCGCGCGCGCGGGGCGGCCCCTGGGGGCCCCCGGGCGGAAAGTACCCCGGCAAGGTCCCGAGAGAGTCCCGGGAGGAGTCACCAGGGCGCTCCAGCAGCGCGCCAACGCGGCTCCGAGACGTCCGCGAGAGACCCAAGAAGGGCCAAGAGGCTTCCAAGAGGCCCCCAAGATGCTACATGAGGGGTCCGAGATGCCACAAGATCGCTCCAAGACGCCCACGATGGCCCCCAGACGCCCCAAGAGGCCTCCAAGAGCACTCCCGAGAGGGCCCCAAGGGGCAACATTCAATGCTTTTCCTTAGGTTTTGGAGAGATTTTGGCGTTTCCACCTTTTCGGCTTCACGACGCCCCAAGACGGCCCAAGAGGCCCCCAATACCGCCCCAAGAAGGCCCAAGAGGCCCCCAAGAGGGCCCCAAGACGGCCCAAGAGGGCTCCAAGACGGCCCAAGAGGCCTCCAAGACGGCCCAAGAAGGCCCCAAGAAAGCCCCAAGAGGGACCCCAGGGGGGGAACACGAAACAATATTTCGAGCCCTCGGCCCTCAGAAGTCCCCAGGAGGCCCCAAGAGGCCCCTAAGAGGCCCCAAGAGGCCCCCAACAAGCCCTAAGAGGCCCCCAAGCGGCCCCAGGAGGCCACCCAAATGCCCCCCGAGCACGCAAGCAAGTGCCAGCGACGCTACACTATGGGCCGGCGGAATGAGCGAAGCGATTCAATAATCTGCGACGATGGTGAGGCTAATCTGGCCATCACGAACACATGCCTCTGCCTTCGCCGCCAACTTCCAAGCGCTATCTATGGCAGACCTACCAGCAGCAGCACCCCAGTACACACGAGAGAACAGACGCTGCAGCGCCTGTAAATCATCGCGCCTCACTCTCTGCCAGACTCTGTAGACCGCGGCGCACAGCACGATGAGCCGATGGCCCTCCTGAGCCTTGGGGGGCATTGGCATCGAGATCCAGACCAGCTGCTTCGGCAGCATGCCGATGGACTCGCACGCCTCCCACAGCATCCCCACTACGTCCAGCGCCTCGTCGGAGAGGTACGCCAAGTGGCGCGGGGGCAGCCCGTCGAGGCTGCTCGAAGTGGTCTCAGGGAACGCCCTCGCAGCATCACGGATCTGCTGCGGGGTCGCCCGAGGGATTGATGACCTATCTGGAATCCACGCCGCCGGGGCTCGGTCCGTGGCCCTCCAGAGGTCAGCATGCACATCTTCCATGTCAGCCACAATCACATGAGGGTGCGACGATGGGAGGCCATCCGGCGCCCTGACGACAGTGGGTGCCTACACGTCCCTGTACGCTGTGATACGATGCAGGCCACGTGCGCCACCAGAGCGCGCCTGCTGGCACCAGCCTCGCCAACGCCGGTCACGATCTTTGTCCGCAGCCTGCGCGGCAGCGCGCGCATCCGCATCGATATCTCCCAAGAACTCCCTGGCCTGGTCCGCCGAGAAGTTGCCCGCCAGCAGGGTGCGCGCCTGCTGCGCCGTCGCGTCGAGCCTAGGGTTGATGCCCATGCTCGCGTACTGGCAGGTCTGGAAGCTCATCAGCTCATCAGGCATCTTCAGTTCACGCTCGGAAGGGCTACTTGCTCTAGGGAAGATGATGCTCGTGATACTGTCCACAAGCCACTTCCACCCTTCACCCATGGCCTGAAGCCCTTCTGCATCCTTCCCCTCGTACATAACGTCGACCCAACGGGGCCTCAAGATCCGAGCAAAGCCATGAGTGTGCGCCAGCTGGGAGCCCGTCGCGCGCGCGATCCTCGTGGCGGCCTTCACGGCGAACCGGCCCCACGCAAGAGTGAGGAAGCCCCATGCTGCATCTGCGTCCGCCTCCTTCGACATCGCGACGGCCTTCTGCGCGTGCCGTGCCTCGCAGCTCCAATCTTCATCTTGACGGCATGGACCCGTCGCTGCCGGGACCGCAAGTTTGGGCACCACAGCATATGTGAGAATCTGAATCTTCTCTCCTGTCGCCGCCATCTGGAGTGTGACGGGGCGGTGTGGCTTCACCGCCCAGGAGACGTCGGCATCCACACGCTGGAACAGACGCAGTGCCGCCGCCAAGAGCCCAAAGTAGTCGATGGTGCTGCACGCGGCGGCCGTCCTGCACGTGATGGCCTTGGGCACCGCCATCGTGAGCAGGGCCGCCGCAGGGAGCTGCGCCGCCTCGATGGCCGCCGCCTCCATGTTCCAGTCGCCGCCGACAATGCTCGGCGACACCTGCCCCGCCAGCGCCTGGCCGACCGCGCCCAGGATGGTCGCGTTCCTGACCGCCATGCCCTCGGCGCAGTGAAGGTACAGGTTGAAAATGTTCATAGGCGGCCACCCCGGGACGTCCACTGCCACATGCAGCGCACGCCGTGGAGCCAGAACACTACGACCTGGTGGACGTCGCAGCCCAACAGCCGTCCTCGCAAACACGGCGACTCCCGCGCTGGGCAGATGTCCCGCGGTCTGGTCGCCTGGCTCGATGATCACTTGCCAACCCGCCCGGCCGGCCCAACTCGACAGCTCCTCGGCCTCCCAGTCGTGGTAGCCGATCTCTTGCGCTAACACCACCAGCGCGCGAGTCCTCTCAAGCCGTTTCTTCAAGGTCCTCTTCCCCTGATTGGCATTGAAGGTCTCGAGCAGCCGCGCCTGCTGCTCCGCCACGGGCACCTCTGCGCCCTTGCTGCGGCCGGCTGCAACAGGGAAGCCACTCACTCGCGGCAGGTGGTACTCAACACCCCGCACCTCCGACACGTCGGTGCTTGTGCTTCTGCATGTCACTGACGAGCCCCAGCAAATCCGCTTGGGACAATCCTGGCTGTCCCTCGCCGTGCTGGAGCTTTGCCCACAATTGCTGCACATCCTCGCTGGTGTAGTCCTCGGCAGGGCGCTTGTCCCCATGGCTAGCGGCCCCAGCAGCGCCGCCCCCAGGAGCAGCAGGCTCAGCAGCAGGTGCAGCAGGCTCCTGGGCGGTCGGCGGACCACCTGGGGGAGCACCCATCTGGATGTCGGGCTTCTGCTCCTGCATCTTGGCCTGCATGTTGCCGTGGAGCAGCTTCTGCAGCCTCGCAAACTTGTCATTGGCCGCGACCTGCCTGAGGAACTCCGCCAACTCTGGGTCGCTCGCCAAGCCTGGATCCTCCTGCGCCTTCTCGAAGAAATCCTCGGGGATCGTGGACGTCGGCACCACCGGTGGGGGCGCCGCAGCCTCGCCTCGCTGCCGCTGGAGCTCGGCCGCGCTCGCCGCCACTTGAGCTGCAAGCGTGTCCACCTCAGCGGCCTTGGTGGTGATGACCGCCTTCTTGCCAGCAATGTCGCTCTGGAGTTGGACCAGCTTCTCCTCGAGAGACTCCAGCTCCTCCTTGTGGCGATCCAGCTGCGCCCGACACTTCTCCAGCTTCTGCTGGGAGGCGCGGTGGACGGTGGCAGGAGGGCGGAGGGCACGCAGTTGCACCCGCTGCTCGTCCAGCTGCAGCTTGAGCGACGTGGTCGACTCGCCCTCCCCGCACTCGGTGAGGCTCTTGATGTACTGCTCGAGCGCCGTGATCTGCTTCTGCAGTGCCGTGCGCTTGGCAGTGTTCTCGTCCTTGGCGGCGTCTGCCGCCTCTTCTTCATGTGCGTGTACGTCTGGCTGCCCGCGTCCAGCACCTTTCTTCTGGGACCTGAGCTGCTCAGCCAGCGCGTCGCACTTCGCCTGCAGCTTCTTATACTCCCCACTCGATGGTGCCGGTGATGGCGAGCCCAAGCCGCTGCCGCCGACATGACGGGAGGGAACCTGCGTAGACGCCTCGGCTTGAGCTGCAAACTTGCGGGCTCGTTGGATGACGTGCTGCGGTGCTGATGCCCCGCACCTGCACTTGACTCTGCACGCCCAGTTCGTCGATACTCCGCAGCTGGGGCACCCCCATGTCGGTTTCTTCGGCCCTGCGAGCAGGGAGCCTGGCGGCGCCATCGCGGCGAGTCTGGGGATACACGCGTCCAGACTCTGGCAACAGACCGGCGGCTTCTCGCAGGGCAACCCGAAACAGATGTGCTCCAGCAGGAGCTCACAGTGTAACTGCTCCAGCAGGAGCTCACAAAATCACTGGGAGCGATCCGCGGACTAGCGGTCTCCACGTTGCCGCTGGGCGACATGGAGTCTTGAGCCAAAATGGCTACGGAGGAGGAGTAGGAGGAGGAGCAGGAGGGGGAGGAGGAGGGGGAGGAGGAGGAGGAGGGAAGGGAACGGAATTAATGCCCAATAAAGAAACACAGGTGCGAAAAACACGAGGCGAAACATGTGCAAAAGCACCTGCGGGCAAGCGCCCCTGACCTGGGGAGGAGGAGGGGGGAGGGAGGGCGGGAACGAGCACTATGGCTCTGTAGGATCCTGCAAGATCCAGCGATCTGGCGGACCCCCGTCTCAGTGGTTCATTCAAAGATTGGGTCCTGAGGGGTGGGGTCCTGAGGACGAGGTGCCTCAAACAGACCGAATCCACGCTTGAATCCTTCCCCATCCCTGCGGACCCCATCCCTCAGCACCCCACCGACCGTTCGCATGGAGTCCCGTCCATCATCGAGGGTTGCTGAAGCTGCCCCTCCCCTGGCCCAAGGGCCCCCCAGCCTCTCGCTGCACTCTGCAGCCCCTGGGGCCCGCTGGGCCTCGTGAGGGGTGCCCTGGAGGCCGCGGGGGCCTCCTCGGAAATCCTGGGGGCACCTTGGGCCAGTGGCGCTTCTGGCAACACCCGCCCCTGGAGCCCCGAGACGCCCGGCAACTTGCCGCGCCGAGCGGCGTGCGGGGCGCGGGGGGGGGGCGAGGCTGCCGGCCTCCATGGGCAGCCCCTCGGCGCGCCGGAGGCGGTCGCCGTACCGGTCCTGCGGGGGGGCCCAAAGCGGCGCGGCGGGGGCCCAGACGCGCCCTCGAACTTCGAGGGTCGAGGAGTTCCGTGCCTCCTGGGAGGCTTCTCGTCGCCACGGCCCGATTCGCCTCCACATGCTGGTCGGGACGCGGCCCAGGAAGGGTCTGGGGTTCGACTTGGCCCCGCAGGCCCAGACCCGAACCACCTCGCGTCGTGAAACAATCACGCGGACACGATTTTTGGCCGTGTTCGGTCTCGAGGGGCCCTCGCTGGGCCTCGGAACCGTCAAGAAACAACCCAGGATGAACAGCCGGTCCCAGGGAATGTGTTGAGACCTCCGGGAGTCGACATTTTGGAAGAATCATGGCGTCGCGGGTCTGGGGAGGGGGGCGGAGCGGGGATGGCGGGGGTGATTATCATATCGGGGCTTTGCCAACAAACCATCGCGACTGGGTGCTTTCAGCGATTCTTCAACCTCTGAGAGGCGTTGGGCCTAGCCCAGGGGAAGTCAGGAAAGACGTAGGCCAAAAGGCTTCCCTCGTGAGAGGACTTCGCATTCATCCCACTGCTAGGGGCAGCTATGGCCAAGCTAGGGGGACACTAGCGATGCCATGTTGGGGGCAAAATCACGGGCGAGTTGGGCGAAGCTGCGTGCAGGTACGACCTCCGCTCTGGGCCTCTGAGCCAGTGTTCAAAGGCACGATTGGTCAGAGGCCAGGGAATGTGGAATGCTCAGGGCTCGGTGATCTCTGCACCTTTCCCCACTTCCCTTTCCCCCCTTCCCAACCCCTCAAACTCCTGCTCACATCATCCTGCTCCGAATTTTCCCTACACCTTATCCACGCTGCCCTCTTCCTCTTTCTTATCCTCCTCTTCCTGCTCCTTACTCCTTCCCCCCCTCATTCCCCTCCTCCGCCTGATCCACTGCTCCTCCTTCTGCTTCGCTATCCTCCTTCTCCTCCTCCTCCTCCTACTCCTCGTCCCCTCTCCTACATCCTTCTCCTCCTCTTATTGCTCCTGCTCTCGTTCCTCCTCTTATTCCTCTTCCTCTTCCTCCTTCCCCTCCACTTCCTCCTCCTCCTCCTCCTCGTCCCCATCCTTTCTCCCTCTCCTTCCCGTCCTCCCCATATTCCTGCTGCTCTTCAGTTTCCGCCTTCTGCTGCTCCTCCTCGCTCCCTACAGTCCTCCCTCCTCCCGCCCACCGCCTCCCTCCCTCCTCCGCCTCCGCCTTCTCCTTCTCCTCCTCGTCTCCTGCTGGCGCACCTGGAATTGGTGCGGCGGCGCCTGTGATTCCCCCCAACCTCGTCGGCATGGAGAATGACGTGTTCTGGCAATGGTCCGACGAGAAGCACCAAGGGGTTGGAATTCTGGGTCGAGATGCAGCGCGTCCGGAGGGTGCTCAAAAAAGACGAGCGACTCTGAGATGGCTGCTCTTGAGTCTGGTGGTAGCCATCGTGGTAAATTCCACCAGCCCTCTGGGCGTATGTGGTTGATCGAGGTTCCTCATCCAACCCCATTCTTCCCCTCCTACCCCCTTCCCCTGGACCTAGACTGGGCGCCCCGCGAGGTGTCAGAGGGTACTGTTTCGCCCAAGATGGCCCCAAGAGGGCCTCAGAGGGCCCAAGGTGGCCTCCAAGATGGCTCAAGATAGCCTAAGATGCCTCAAGTCGGCTCCCAAGATGCTCCAAGAACGCTCTAAGAAGGCTTCAAGAGGCTTCCGAGACATCCAAGGAGGCCTTCCAAGAAGCCAACGTCCTTCCAACACCTAAGGAAACAATAATGTGTTTTGTTTTCTTGCCTGTTCGCTTCCGATGGCCATCCGAGGCCTCAAGATGGTTCCTAGATGGCCCAAGAGGGCCCCAAGGGAGACCCAAGAGAGCCCAAAGACGGCCCCAAGAGCGCCCAAGAGCGCGCCAGCAGCGCCCCAAGAGGCGACTTGTGGGGCTCCCAGGGGGGGGGGGGGGCAATTAGGGCCTCTTCTTTGATTGATCTCCTCCAAGGTGGCCCCAAGAGCGCTCTTTAGGCTCCCAGCAGCGCCCCAAGACGGCCCCAAGAGGCGCCCACACGGCCCCAAGAGGCGCCCGTGATGCCTCCAAGAGACTCCCAAGAGGCCCCAAAGAGGCGTTAAGAGGATCCCCGGGGCACCGAAAATGCCCCCCAGACGTTCCACCCTCCTCCTCCTCTTGGAATATCGGACGGCTTCCCCCGCCATTTGCTCTTCTGCATGCTCCCCCCCTTCCCTGATCACCTCGACTCCACTGGGCATCGTTTCTGGATTGGCTGGTGGGGGTACTTTTTCGTTCGCGAGCGGCACGGAGCAACCGCGCGCCGTCAAAGAGCGAAGCAACAACGCCACGATCTAAATTAGGCGCCAAGCGCACAGGAGCGAGCTACAACTGGTGGGGGGATACGCGAAGCGTCAACAATTGGACGACACCAAGAAGAGCTCGCTTAAGGCAGCCCTTTCGGAATCAGAGCGCACGCGTTTGTGAGTCCCTTGTTCTGCGTCAGACTTCTGAGAAGGCCACAGAGCATCTTCGCACAGTCCGTGAGGATACCTCGGCCAGTTTTCGGAGCGTGCTCGGGCAGATGGGCCAACGCGGGCCTCAGCCAACGGCATCACTTCAGCCTCCCGCTGCACCGCTTGCCGCTGCTGCCCCGGTCGCTGGAGTTGAGGCCGCCGCCGCAGCTCAGCCATCACGTTTGTAGCAGGCAATGGCGGCCAGCAGGCTGCCGATGGCGTCGATGCCCTGTTCTGCAGCAGCGCCTTGCGGACTGAGGACGGAGCTCGGACTGAGAGTGAGAAGCTGCCGAGACTAGCCGAGCGCAGGGCCCCATCAGGGGTGCTCGATGAGTATGCTCGGCTCTTCTCCAGCCGCGATGCACGAGAGCTGGCGGAAATCGTGCCTCTCAACGTGGAGGCGGGGCGGCCGCTGCTGCTCGCGCCAGAAGTCTCTGGCGATCCTGCCGCTGCTGCTGCCACCCTCCGTGGTCGTCGCCTCTCGCCTCAGACAGGAGGCGACTGCGAGGGAGGGTCCTTTGAGCAGCAGAGGCAGTGACGAGAGTGACTGAATTGGTGCTACGTGGGTGGACAAGCAGCATCATCCAGCAGAATCCTCCTCCTCCTCCTCGTCCTCCTCCTCCTCCTCCCTATTCGTCTTCCACCTCCTCCTCCTCCTTTCCCTCCTCCTGCTCCTCCTTCTCCGCCTCCTTCTTCTCCTCCCCGCAAGAGCTTCCTCGATGGACTGGCGCTGCATCCAGAGCACCTGTGGGCGATGGGGAAGGGGCGCCCACAACAGAGGAGGCGGAGAGAAGAAGAACGACACCAACGATGACGAGAGGGACGAGGAATGTTGAAGTAGAACAAGAAAACAAGATAAACATCAGCTTTCGGAGCTCAGCGCGAAATCTGCTCGGATCTGCGCTGAACCTCCCTGGCTGCGCCCTAAACCAGTGCGGATCCGAGAAATCAGCGCAGATCTGCGATAGTTGATGCTTAGCTCTTACGACGACGACGACCGCGCTGACGCCGACGACGACGACGACGACGACGACGACGACGATGGCGACGGCGGCGGCGTCGACGACTACGACCAATTTGTCAGGATTCTTTGGGCCGCAGGCGAGGCAAAGGGAAGACGCCAGGACAGGGTACATATAGCTGGTCTGATACAATGAAGCTTAAGACTGATCCGGCCAAACTTCGGGCCCTGTGGGGGCCGCTGGGTCAAGAGCGGTCCTGGAGGCCACAAGACGGCTCCAGATGGCTTCCAGAAGGCCCCAAGCCGGGCCAAGAGGGCTACAAGACGCCCACGATGGGCTCGATACGGTCCCAGAGCCCCCCTACACGCCCCAAGAGCGCCCCACGAATCCTCTCAGGAGACCCCCATGAGGCCAAAATCGCCAAACTGCCTCCGTCAAATGTAAATTTTCAGCATTAGCGACTTCTCGCCTTCCCGGCGCTCCACGATGACCCAAGACACCTCCAAAACCGTCCACCACGGGTTAAGATGCACTCGCAAGGCCCCCAAGACGGCGCAAGAGCGCCGTGGAACGGCCCAAAAGTCGCTCAAGACGGCGCCCCAAGAACGCCCCCGCGACCACCCAACAAGCCCCAGAACGCCCACAAAAGACCCCCCCAAACCGCCAGCAGGCCCACAAGAAGCCCCGTGAGGCCCCCCCGAGGCTTCCACCAGCCCCCAAGACCCCCAAGAGGCCAAAATCGGCCCCAAGAGGCCAAAATCGGCCCGCCAAGATGCAAATTTTCAGCATCAGCGACTTCTCGCCTTCCCGGCGCTCCACGACGGCCTAAGATGCACCCACCGCACCAAGAGAGCTCCCTGGACACTTCCTCCTGGCACTGCCGCCGACGAGTGACACGAACAGGCTAAATGATGCCCCCCCCTCTCGTCCACCACCCCGCCTGCGCACCTGTCATGCCTTGCACGACGCACTAGAATGTCCAGATAGCTCCGACCATGAATCTCGCAAAATACCGCGCACCGCAGCCGCCCACTCGCGATCACGGCAATCCCCACTGCATATTAGTACGGTGACGATCCAAGCCTCTATATCACTATAGACATGCATAGACATACATACACATACATACATACATTCAACCATGCATGCTTGCATGCAAGCATACATACATACATATGCAAACACATACATACAAACATACAAGCATATAACCATATACACATGCATACACACATCAATACACACATCCATACATTCACAAAGCCATACATACATGAACACATACATGCATACATACATATTCACATACACAACAACAAATATACATACATGCATCCATACACATATACATACACACATACATACATACACACATACATACATACATACATACATACATACATACATACACACATACATACATACATTCATACATACATACATACACACACATACATACACATACACACATACATACAAACATACATACATGCATGCACAACTACATACATACATACATACATACATACATACATACATACATACATCCATACATACATACATACATACATACACATATACTTACATACATACATACATACACAGGTACATACATACATACACACATACACACATACACACGTACATACATACATCCATACATAGATACACACATCTATACATACATTCATACATACATACACATATACATACATACATACATGCATGCATGCATGCATGCATACATACATACACACATGCATCCATCCAAACATACATGCATGCATGCATGCACGCAGGTACACATACACGCATACTTTCATACGTACATACACACATACACGCATACATACATACATACATGCATGCATGCATGCATGCATACATACATACACACATACATACAAACATCGACACATACATACATACACACATACACACAGACATGCATACATACACACATAAATACATACACACATATATACACATATACATACATACATACATACATACATACATACATACATACATACATACATACATGCATACATACATGCATGCATGCATCCATGCATGCATGCATGCATGCATGCATGCATGCATACACACATACATACATGCATGCATGCATGCGTGCATGCATGCATGCAAACAGACATGCATACACACATGCATGCATACATACATACATGCATGCATGCATACATACACGCACATACATACACACATGCGTACATACATACACGCATGCATACATACATACATACACATACATACACACATACATACATACACACATACATACATACATCCATACATACATGCATACACATATACCTACATCCATACATACATACATGCATGCATGCATGCATACATACACACATACATACCTACATACATACACACATACATCCATACACACATACATACACAAACATACATACATGCATAAATGCATGCATGCACACATACATACATACACACATACATACCTACCTACCTACATACACACATACACATACATACATACATACACACATAGCTGAGGTGCACGAGCTGAGGGCGTCGGAGGATCGAGAAGCGCATCACCGATACATCGGCGATGCGGCTCGATGCGGATCCAGACTTTCTCCACGCCGACGTCGCCGATGCATCGGCGATGTGGCGCGATCCTCCCACCCGCCGGGGCTCGAGCGGAGGCGGAGCGGCGGAGCGGCGCCGCGTGCGAGGTCCCGAAGCCCAGAAGCCTCAGCAGCTGCTCCCTGGCACCGCGCTCGAACAGGAACGGGTACCTCGCTCGCCCCGCTGGGCACGGGCGGTGCACGGGCTTCGAAGCAGGGCGAGTCGAACCAGCGGCAGCTCAAGCTCGGCCAGGCGCTGCTTGAAGAGATGGCGGAGGGGGATGGGACGGGGGGAGAAATGCCACGCGAGCAAACTCGCCCGAGTTTAAAGGAAAAACAGCCTCCTGGTGACAATGCGCGCCGAGTCTGCACGGGAACGGGACCTACTCCACGCGCATGCTTCGGACAACGGCAGCTTAAGGTCGGCCTCCAGAGCCCTCCCTCTGGGTGCTCAGACGCACCAATTTTCCGAGCCGCGTCCAGCAATGGCGACGAGAAGGCCCACGACGGCCCACCACCGTGGTCCCAACCGGCCCTCCTCTGACGGCTGGCTCCCACCGTGTGCGGGAACTCTCTGGGGAGGCACCCCCGCCTGTGCGGCTGCGATGTTCGGAGGCCTCCCAGATGTTGGTCCGAGCAGGTGGGGTCGGGCGATTGCACCGCATCGCCGCTGCATCGGCGATGCATCGGCGATGCATTGCGGACGCATCGCGGACGCGTCGGCGATGCATCGACGAACCTGCGTGGAGAAAATCGGGCTCCACACCTAGCCGCATGGCGGACGCATCGGCGATGGGTTGGGCGCCCCAGCCCCGGTGATTCGGGAGGGTTGGGCGCCCGAGTTATCCGGGATAACTGCGGTCCGGGGTAACTCCAGTTTAGACCCCCGAGGCGCGAATCTGCAGCTACGGTCGGGGCGTTGACCTAAGGAACCCTGAATGAGGAACCCTGAATGAGGAACCCTGAATCCATAAGTCAAACTTTGATTTTCCATCGAAGCCCTAAGGCAAACCTCAGGCAAGCTGCAAAACAATGAAGGAACACGCAGCCCCTCCAAAGCTCTTTCTCCTCCTCCGCCTCCGCCTCCGCCTCCGCCTCCTCCTCCTCCTCCTCCTCCTAGGGTTGTTCTTAACCCTCGTGTCGACTCGATCAGTAATGTGCAACTGTGGAGGATGAAGGGGGGGGGGAAGCAATGAGGAGAGACTTGTTTGTTGATTCGCGGCGACAGCGGGCGTTATGGGGGGGGGGGCGGGGGACGCATAACGCAACACCGCGCCCCCCTCCGTGACTGACTGTGGTGCCGGACGCTCTGGGACGCTCTGCGGCAACGCTGGGGACGCGCTGGGCGGGGAGGAGCCTTACGTTAGGGGGGTGGGAGGGGGGAGAGAGGGGGGGGGGGGCATGGCGCGCGTGATGGCCCCGAGGGTAAACAAAGAGGCTAGGTAAAGAGGAGGACCGAGCAGGGGCGCGTCCTGGCTGCGCGGGGGGGGGCACGCCAGGGGCAGCGCGCAGACCCAGGCGGGCGCGGCCACCGCGGCGGTGAGCAGCGGCTGCGCCAGCTGGTCCATGAGCTTCCTGCCGGACGAGTGGCCGATCGGGGGCTCGAGGATCGAGGAACGATCGGGGATCGAGCACGGCAGGGAGGCCTACTCGAGTGCGACGGAGCCCGAGGGGGACCCGCCCCGAGGACAGCCCCTGGCGAGAACCATCCCTTCGGGCAGGGCGGGCTGTGCCCGCGAAGCCCCTGGCCAGCAGGGCGGCAAGGCGCTCCGTCGAGCGACCGCGGGGCTGCCCTGCAAATGCCAGTCGGACCTCCTGCGTCCCGAACAGCAAACAACACTACACCCGTGACGGCAGACGACACTGAACAGCAGCTCTGGAATACCAGAGAGAAAGAGAGCACCCAAAAGGAGTGCTGTAGACAGCGGGCAGAGATATGCCCGTATGGCGAGTACATAAACACGAGAGGCCGTACAGGAGACCAGAAGGGACACCTCAGATGACACCATGAGGGAGACCGTAATATTGCCTGACGGAGGACGCAAGCATATGAAGCTGTGGGTGCCGCCTTCGGTGGCGCCCTCCTGTGGGACCACGACACGCGTGAGGGGTATGACGGATTCGGGGCGGGCACGCCATGCGGAGCCTGCCATTGCGAGCCTGCCTTCGGGGCCACGAACCCTGTGAAACGTGCGCCGATGTGGAAGCCGCGCGCAGACCCCGCCCCGGAAGCGGCGGAGGCCTGTTCAGCGGGCCGCTCTCCCATCTCACGTCCTCCTCCTCGCCGGCCACGCCGCCGCCCGGCTGGATCAGGCCACTGCTGGCATCCTCGCGGCCCCCGCCCTCGTCGTCGTCGTCGTCGTCGTCGTCGACATCGTCGACGTCGTCGTCGTTGTTGTCGTCGTCGTCTGCGCCTCCGTAGGTCGTCGGGGGGGGACCCCTCGTAGTCGCCGTCGTCGCTGTGGTCGTGGTGGTGACTGTTGTCTTGCCAATTTCGGTGGTCGCTCTTCGGAACGTCAGAGATGTACTCTGAAGCCTGTGACAATCCTATGATGTGCCTGCTCCTCCTCTTGATCCTCCTCTTCCTCCACATCCCCCTCCTCCTCTCATCCTCAAAATTGTGTTATGTCCCCTTCTCCTCATCGTCTTGCCCCTTGTGCATTCCATCCACCCCCCGATCCACATCCTTCTCCGCTTCTACGTATGACCTCCTAGTCTTCTTCGCACGCTGCCTTCTAATTTCCCCAACCAGTGCTTGCACTTAGGAGCTCCTACTTCTCTTCAAAGGAAACGGCCCTGGATTTCGGTCTGGCGGTTCCGTGCTCGCCATCGCCGCCCCATCACAACCCCGTCGCCGCCCGTCGTCTGGGCCTGATTGTCGGTCTGCTCGCCGTCGCCGCCCCGTCGCCGACTCGTCGACGCCCGTTGTCTGAGCTTGTTTGCCCGTCAGTCGGCTGTGTTGTCGCCGTCGCCGCCCCGTCGTTGCCTCGCCGCCCACATGAATTGCACCACGTATGTAACACCACGTAGGTTGCACCACTTCGATCGCTCCACAAATATAGTACCACGTCTATGTGTATGAATACAACCATAAGTATGCACATAAAGAAACATACATGCATACATACATACTGTCATACGTACGTGCGTATGTATATCGAAACTTACACCCTTACTCACGAACAACCATACATCCATAAACCCATACACAGTAACATACACATACATATATACGCATACATATATATATATATATATGTATATATACTAGAACCACGCGCGCGCTGCGCGCGCGCTTTGGTTCTAGCAAGATGCGGCGACGGTCTAGGGTTCGCAGCATCGGAGAGCAGAAAGACTTCTATCAATCATGATCAATCAGCAAACCGCTCCATCCCTCTATGCCCCCACGGATGCACGCCATGAGCCCCAGTCGACCTTAATCCTGCATTCTCCCCTCAGCAAACCCTCTCAATCCCTTTCCTTTCCACACCCTTTTTGGCGGACCAATGGAATCACATTCCACGCGGCAGAGGAGCTGTTGCGGGCGCGGTGGACGAATTCCACTCGGCATGCAACGCGAAAAAGTATGTTCGTTGTCGACGCGGTGGACGTGTTCCACTCGGCGTGCAAACATGAAACATACAGACGGCCGCAGGTCGAAATAGGATTCCGCATGATCCCACTTCAGCTGCCTACATACCCTTTGTTTCATTACCAGGGGGGCGCCTCGAGAAAACAACTCACACACGTACAGCAGCAGCTCGTGTGTCCACCGGGGGGAGGAGGGGGGGCGGGCCCCAGTGCTTAATCAACCCGGTTGAAGCAACCGCTTTAAGCAGCCAAGATCTGGTCTGTGGGGAGGAGGAAGCGGGGGCCCGCGCCGATCGGCGAAACAAGACATAAGAAACAGCTACGTACCTCTCAAGACGGCTCAATGGGCCCGATTTCGGCACACCCCTCACGCACTCTACGCCTATCCAAGGCCTAGACGACCCAGAGCGTCCAAGGCCCCGCGACGAAAATCTTTACAACGATGGGCTGTCGTGAAGGGTTCTATGGTGCGCCCACCTTCGTCGTACAACCACCGCGCAAAATTTGCCAACACTGGGCCACCCTGAAGGTTCGAACGGTACGCGCCAAAAAAAATCGACAACGAAATGATCGATCCGACGGTCTTCCCAGTACCGCGGCGACTGCCGGGACTGATCCGAGTATTCGCTTCCTTCGTGGCGGCCCTGAAAAAAAACACCCACCTCAAAAAGCCAACGTCTCGCGTGAGATATCCCCGAATGCTGACCGCAAGTGGGCAAATGTCCCACCCCGTGGTCGCTCCCCATTGTGGCGCCCAGCAACGTTTGTTGCGACATCGCGAACACCACGCGGCCCTGAAAAAGACGCGCCTACATCCGTGAAACAAGCGAACCGCTGGAGACATCCCCACAATCTGGGCACGAACCGGTAAGTGTCCTAATTATCCCCTGGCGGCACCCCCTTGTGTTGCCCAAGTGCGAGGCGTGTCACATCTCGATAATTCTGATCGTGATGTGGAAAAGGAGGGAGGAGGAGGAGGAGGGAATGAGTAGACGGAGGCGCGACACGGATAACAAGAATTCACGACGCAAAACACGGAAATAAACGCCGCAACATATTCCACGAGACGTGCAACTGCCTGCACAATGATCCGTTATCACCGTCGCACCCTTGATCCGCACGCGTTCGACGGAAACTGGCGGCAATCAAACTGGCCCAATCTGCCAGGGCATCGCTCGTGGGGGGAGGGCCTCCTCGCCTCGGGCTGCTCTCCCGCAGCCGCGCCCCGCCGTCGACGGCGAGCGCGCGCCTTGTGGGTGCCCTGACCGTCCCGGGCGGCCGCCGCAGGCCCGAACGTGCGTTTGATTCGCCCATGTCGTCCAGCCCGCCCATCTGAACCAAGAAAGCCAGTTTCTGCTGAGACATCCTCACGATTCGCTCTTAAACTTAAGCTGGCCACGGCGTGCAGGTGACGCTGGCGGTGTGCTGCCCGCGCCGAGGCGAGGGCGCCGTTTGGACGGACTTTCGGCCATTGTACGGTTCGGCCCGCATAGTACGCTATGTTATCAATGCGAGGCTAAGCTATGCGGTGTGATGCGATGCGATACTATGCTGTGCGATGCGATGCTATGCTACGCCATACTGTGCCATGCGATGGTCTGCTAGTATATGCGACGCGATGCGATGCGATGCTATGACATGCTATGCGATGCTATGCTATGCTACGCGATGCTCGTCTATGCTGTGTTGTGCGATGCTATGCGATGCTATGTTATGCTCTGCTGTGCGATGCAATGCTATGTTGTAGCTCCAGTTGGTTCCCCTTCCTCACCCCCACCACCACACGCACAACCTCTTTATCACCCGAAGGGTGGTCGTACATGTAGGTATACACTGGCAGGATCTCGCGGCCAGAGATACAACCGCCTCGCGCACACTTGCCTGGAGCGGGGAGGGATGGGGAGGAATCTGGGAGGAGCGGGGAGGGGTGCAGAGTGAGGTGTCTTGTGGGCCTCTTGGACTGTCTCAGAGCGCTCTGGGATCCACAGGCGCCTACGGAGGTCGTCTTGGAGGGCTCTGTGGGACGTTTTGGGGCGATCCTGGGAGCTTTTTGGACCGTCTTGGAGGCCTTGTTGGGATGTCTTGCGGCGCTCTTGGGGTTCTCTGAGGCCGTCGTGGACGCTATTAATACAAAGTGCATATGCCCAAAATAGACGCTTCCCAAAAGAATTAGGGCGATGTGTGTTCCTTGCGGCCCTCATAAATGTCCTCTTGAAGCCCTCTTCAAGCGCTTGGGGGGCCTCTCGGGCCGTCTTGAAACCATCATGGGCGTCTTGACGAACTCTTGGACCGTCTCGGAAGCCTCCTGGACCGTCTGGGGAGCGCCTTCGGGCCCTCCGAAAGCCCCCCGAAGGACCCCGAGGGACACAGTGGTCACCGCGGGGGGAGGGGGGAGTTTGGGAAAAGTGGGCAGCCTCGGGCCCCAGGGGTCTGGTCGCGGGGTCCGCATGGTGATGGGCAACTATGATGAGCGCTTGCGCGCTGCAGTCAGATCCACCTTGAGCCAAAATGGCTACGGATGCTCGTGGGGCGTCTTTGGGGGCTCCTGTGGGGCCTCGTGGAGCCTCTAGGAGGCCTCTAGGGGGCCTCTTGGGCTCTCTTGGGGTCTCTTGGGGCCTCCTGGAGGCCTACTGGGGCGGAAGGCTCGAATTGTCGGTTCGTGTTCCCCCTCTTGAGCCCCTCTTGGGGCCCTCTTGAGGCGATCTTGGGCGCCTCTAGGGCCGCCTTGGGGCACTTTTTGGGCCATCTTGGGGGCTCTCTCTATTGCGCCGTCGTGGCGCCCTCTTTGGGTGCCTCTTGGGCCGTCTTGAGCTGGTTTCTGGGGCCTCATGGGCTGTCTTGAACCGTTGGAAGCACGAAACAGCGAGAACACGAACAACCTTCAAAAACCATTGAGGAAACCTACTTGCTTCGCCTCCTGAGTGCCTCGTGGGAGCACTTTTGAGGGCATCTTGGCCATCTTGAAGCTCTCTTGGGC